TTTTTATTGTATTATTTTCTTATACTTGTATATCTGTTTTTATTAATTCGCGTGATTCGTTACGTGTATTTGGCTTTTAGCGCATCATTAGCTTTTACGAGTGGGTTGCAAATGGAAATGCGCATACGAATTCGAGTTCGAATTCGGCTGCGGCTGCGGCTTCGACTTGGAATCTTCAGCATTGAAATGAATCTGCATATTTGCGATCACGTTTCGATCAGCTGCCTGGGCCCACATAGCATATACGGCGCGTGTCTCTGTTGTTTGGCTTTGTTGATTTGCCTCGATTGAGGTTCTGTTTTTTGTTTTCCCAACAAATTAGCCGAGATACGAAATGAAACTCAGCTGCCTCACACACGCACACGCACACGCACATATACTTTATATAAATGTATATATACTTACATTTCTATACATATTTATATAGAATTCTAATGAAACGTGCTTCAGCTGACATTGAGGATGTCGCGTGTCGCCGCTGCACACTCGGCGTATGCTTAATTGCTGCTATTTCTGCTACGATCTATTTGTGAAACGGCCCTCGCCTGTAAGTGCTCGACCGCACTCATATGACTGACTCGCGTTGGCTTGTGACGGCGATTTTTTATTTTTTCTTTTTTTTTCCCTTTATATTATTTACTTTGCACCTACGCAATGACGAACGGGTGAAATGCTACCTCACGTGACCCACTGCCAAGCAGTTGCTTGCCATTTGGCTCTTGGCTCTTAACTCTTGGCTGCTCGCTGTTCGCTGTTCGCTGTTCGCTTTTCGCTAATCAAATTGATTGCTTCACGCATGAAATGTAGTGCTTATGAAAAGTTGTTAACTTACTTGCTTGCTAACATTCACCCTGGGCAGAAAATCGTATTGGCTGTTATGCAGACTCCACGTCTTGTGCTGGGAGATGTCGATCGCCTGGACGACGCCGGTGTCCTGCGCCTTTACCGAGTGCTCCAGGTGCCGCAGTGCGTTGTCATCGCGCAGTTGCACCAGCTCGCGCCGTGTATTATTCCGCAATGTGCGTAGCCTCTGTAACAATGAGGAAATAGGTCATTAAGATATATTTTATACTAAYAAWCCTGAAAATCATATACATATACATATATATATGTAGTTTGAGATAAACTATCAAATGGAAAGAGAAAATTAATTTTTTATTGCTTTTTTTTATTGCCTTTCTCAATTGATAACTCAACTTGAAAATAAGCAAACCAAAATTCATATAATATATAAAAATCGAGAACAGTTATCAA